ATTTATCTTTATTTCTGTACGCGAGTTTGTCATTTTCGTGAAATTTGCGAAATTTCCAAAATTTATGACTACTTTGAAACTCTCTCTTCATTTCGTCATTTACGACGTTTATGATGCATTAATGAGTGCTGTGTTCCACGATGGACATTTGTTTCGTGTCCCATTTAATTAATACGCGACATCGCCGCGGCGTTTCTGTTTTTTGCGGTCGGCGGATCGAGCTTTGAGGTGGCTTTCGCTGCCGGTACAAAGCGAGCATTATGCCCGGAACCATCTGGCATCGAGGAGGCGAAAGAGCTGGGAGTGGAATATTTATCAACAACCCGGAAAGAGCGGCGGAATATCTCGCGGCGAGATATCTTTCCGTCGGAGAAACGTCGCTATAAATCACGGGCTCGCTTTTCAAAGTCGATTGTGTTTTATAAACGAAGAACGGATTAGCCGTATTAACACGTCCGGAGATACATGGGAATACCGATGAATTAAATAAGACGATACGGCATGCCTTTCACCCCCCCCCCCTCCCTCCGCGCGCGCTGATTGATGCCCTCCGACGAAGCAGATCTATTATTACTGTCTGACCTGCTCAAGAACGAGGATTAAACCCCTCAGCTCTCCTACCGGCAAACTGCACTGTCATCTGATCCGAGAATGCAAACGCGGGACTCGTCCGTAGACCCCCAAGCGGATAATTCCTGTCTGCACTTTGTTGCTTCGTAAATACAGCTAGCGTCCCCCTTTCGAAGTCGATTCTCATCATTTACCGTCCGCTGATCTAAGAAACACAACATTCTTGTAAAATAATAATAACGTCTACATTTTATCATTTGTATCATTTCCTCAAGACGTCTATCCATTATCGAGAACGTTCTTCGTTTCTAATATAATTTGTTAGCCAAATAGCCGACTAGTTTATGAAATTTATTATTTCCATCAGGACTTTAATAGGACTTTCTTTATCTCGTAATACAAAGCCTTTAGTCGTTCCGGATATATCGATTCTGACAATGCTAGAAAGCGGTCCTCCTTCGCGCCTGACGTTTTTCCATCGCGAGAACGCGGCAGATAAGCTTCGGTAAATCACGCTTGCACCGGCACGCGGCGGTTCAATGCAGCTCGCCCGGGCGAATGCATCTTCGCCCGGGACAAAAGGATTACGTGCTCTTCTTATCGCGATCTCTCGCGCGAAGCTCCGCTTTATGCGTCGCGGAAGCGTCCGCTCCTGAATTTATACCGTTGCCCGGTGGTCTCCCCGAAGGATTTCTCCTGCCGTCACGCGGCATCGTATCTCTCGCATGGCCACAAAAGGAGGGTCGTCGACCTCGAGGACGAGGCAACACCCCGGACAATTAGGTTCGAGTGCACGATTCCCCGGCGGTGGCGCCTGATTTCGCTTCGCGAAAAAAAGAAAACAAAGAGTCAACGCGAGCCGAACCGGACGACGGCGCGGCGGTGGTGACGCGCGCGAATTCTCGCTCCTATTCATAAGCCAAATCTGAAATGCAACGGATCATACATATTACATGACGCACGTTGGCTGCAACGGCGACTGGCGCATAAAAATTTACCGGCCGTTCGCGGATACGGCGACGATTTTACATAATCCAGTGTATCTTGAGTTTTTTTTTTTTTTTTTCAATTTAAGCCACGAAACAATTTAATTATTGTTTCGATTGTTCGATCGTTTTTACTATGTTTGTTTGTTTATTTGTTTGTTTGTTTTTTTGTTTTTTTTCTTGTTTTTTTTTTTTTGAGAAAATCGAAATTCAATTTTTATTTTACCATCGCTGTGTAATATTTTATACTCGCGCAAGAAATCAAGCTGCTCTGTGAGTCTTGCACGATCACGCGCAGAATGCGTACATTTAATATAGAATTAGATTAACGAGCTCGAGTCGCATGAATGATTAACAGAAAGATCCCGAAAGCCAGGTTAATTTGTCTTTCTCCCGGAATCATCCCGCGTGTGAATTGAATAATTGAGACAAAATATTCCTCAAAATTCGATATGTTCGAATTTCGAGTAATCGAATAATCAAGCCTCGATCGTGTTTGAGCGGATGAAAGATCGGTCTTTAATCCCATCTCATTCGGAGATTATCGTGAAATTTATATGATCACCGTGGCGTGATCGCGCACGAGACCGTTCCCCTTTCGACCCTTATTCAGACGTTGCAGATTCCGTTCCTGCACGACGGCATGACTAATGCGACGATAATCGCGAGCCATGATATAATACATACGTACGTCGGCCCGTCTCGCGCATTCAGACTGCAGCATTTGAGCGGCGCGACGAACTGTATTTTTTGCCGAATAAACGGCGTGACTCACTGGACGGACGGACTCCACTAGTTGCGTGTTTTCTGGTCTAGTCGCGCGGGAAAGAGATGAGACTGCCGCGACGGAGAAGTCGCAGGGAGGCTACTTTGGCAGCGAGCCACGTCGTGTCATCGCTCATGCCGTGGAAACTCGAGATTTCTTCGGCTGGCGTCACGACAGGTAAACACTCGTCCCGCTGCTAAATGCTCTCAATTATCGACCATCTTGAAATAAAATGTGTCGCGGTCCGTCCACATCCCTGCGCGACACTTAACAGCCTCCTTGATCGCCAGCGTCGCCAGCGCCTAACGATCGCAACTTATCGCTGAAAGACACTCGACTCTGTTGTCTTGTCTGTCTGTCTGTCTGTGTGTGTTTTATTCACATTTTCCTGTAAAGATGCGCGCACACGCACACACCATACACACACACACCATACACACACACACACACACACACACACACACACATTCGAAAAGTGACAAAGAACAATTAATTTAGCCACGAAGAAGATTAAGAATTATGCTGCTTGATGTTGTAAATTATATTAACATTATTGATACAATGTTAACATTTTATTGGTGTAAAATGGTAATCTTCCAAGGTATGTCCTGTTACTTGCGCCATACCCGTGATTAAGGATTAAGGATTAAATTAGAGAGTGCTAATTGCAATGTAAATCACTGCCAGCCGAACATGTTGCAATTCTGTTTTCTCTCTAATTTATCCTATAGTCTGTCCTGTGTCTAGTTTGCTTAATTCCGAAGTAATTCGTCTCTCAGGCTATACGATGTTTGATAAATCCGTGTCACATGATTATTTTATTTAAGTCGCACAACATTGATCATTATGTTGAAATTGAATACTGTGAAAGCATGATATATTTTATATATCAATTATTAATAGATTTGCAAAATTAAAACAAGATTCCACAAAATATATTTAAATTTCAAATTATCGAATTCATTAATTCAATCACATTATCTAATAATTGAATAATTAAGTTTGCTTTGATAAAAATGTATGCAGTTTTTCTAAACATTCATCCAGTCTCTAGTATTATCACATTCTCATTTCTTGTTAGTTGTACGCAATATTGCATAGAACTTGATAGAATTTTATTCAGCGATCAACGGTTTTTCTGAAAAAAATATAAAATATGTGTAATTTGTGTAAAAGAAACTTGCCCAGTTATTATCAGCAGGCCTGTTTATTAATCAATTAAATAGTTTATTTATTATTTTTTTTTTTCAATAAATGATTTGGGTTTCGCACATTTTTTGTACACAGTAACTGCAGATAAAATGTTACATCTTGATTAGGATTTCAAGTAGGTTATTTTTCAATTACTATGACAGAAGTTAATATAACTGTTCAGTAATTTCTCAAAAATTAAAATTTCTAAATTTTGCCAGAGTAAATTTTTGAAATTTTTTTATTTTTCTATTTCTATTTTTATTTTTCAAATTTTTAAATTTTACCGGGGTAAATTTCGAAAAAATTTTATTTTTATTTTTATTTAAAAAATTTTTAAATTTTACCAGGGTAAATTTTTTAAATAAAGGATATTGTAATTAAACTCAACTAGAAAGAGATATTGTTTATTTCAAGTTTTGAATTGCGATTTGATGAGGACGAAATGATGTGCCGAGTGAAAAATAGTTGCGGTAAGATCGATTTTTTTCACCAAGGAAATTCGAAATTGTCGATACGTATATCGCCGTGTGTAACCCGTGGATGGGCTCAAATGCAGTTTCCCGTGGATGGGCTCAAATGCAGTTTATCATTTGTCTCGCGTCACTCTCTGACCTCTCGATTCTCAACCATGCCACGCCGCGGAAACTTTCTGTTTGGATCTGTTGCGAGTATCGTATGAGGGCGTTCGAATTTATACCGAACGACTCGCATATGTTGTTGCACATTGGATACCCTGGAGAACGCACCATGTAAACTTCGTTCGATTTGCAGCGCATGATATACGATGTGCATCGATCATGTGCCTGAAATAGGTTAACGGAAATACGAGGTGCTTCAGAACTATCGCCGCTCCTCTTAACGACAGGTTTCAATGACGGACCAAGAAGAATGATGATTGTTTCGACGTCGAGACGTTAGCGATTTTTGAAGCGAGTAATTGGACAGTTTTATACTAAATTGCAAGTGCGTGTCAATAAATTTAATCGATATTCGTATATAATTGACAATGGACGACGTGGAAGAAAGTGAGATAACTTAATCGAAAGGCTGCATAAAGGTTTAAAAAAAAGTAAATATAAATTTATCACGAATGCAGATAATTGTAATTAAATTTATTTAAATATAACGGCATTAACAATTCTTGTGAAATCTGACGTTACTTTTTCCTTTTTCTTTAAGTAGAGATTACGGTTCTCCGTAAAACAAGAAACGTGCGTGAAATGTTGATTGAAACATTTTATTTATACCTCTCCTCTAAATTCTTAGCTCGCTCTGCATACGCACTTCTTTTTCGGTTGCTTAACTTGGAACTCGAGATGTGTTTAATTAAAGATTAATATCCACATATCTCGGCTTTCAAGCTCCCTTCGGGGAACTCACCCGAGAAACGATGCACCATCGCCTAAATCAACAAAGCGCGGAAATGTTCTCCTAAAATATCCTCATGCGCATCTGTTAAAGTTCATTCCTCTTTTCTGTTGCAGGAAGTGTTGCACACTATCAGCGCGCCCAGTGGGCAGGTTCAGCGCATCGTGATCTTTAAGAAAAACGGCGTCCAGGCCATGGTTGAATATCCTTTGCAATACATCTCGCTCCGGTCTTTATTGCGCGCCGACGATCGCGAGGCTCCTCGATTTACGTATCAACGATTCTCGGAAGATACCGCGTAATTCTCAATAAATTAACACTTTGAATTCAGTTATGTTCGCAGTAAATCGTCGCAGTAAATTACGTTGAAGTTGAAACCGCTAATGCTCCCGTTTGCTACGCGCATTACTACTGTTTTACAACTGCAGATGTTCCGCGTTGCGTAAAGGATTAATAAAATCGTTTATTATATTGCCGCTTGGGTTCACCTCGTCGGAACTTGGGTTAGTTTTCAACATCGACCGAAGTATCTCCGTTATTCTAAACTTTACCGAAAATTTGAATTTTAAAAATGTAATTTAAATTTGTCAAAGAACTGAGATTTTCGCGAACGACAGGGCATTTTATTTTAAAACACGCGAGGGAGAAGGGTGTCTTTGGGTTTGACGGTACATTCGGAACAATGCCGCCGGGAAAGGATTTATTTTACGCGAGTAAAACCGTTGCGTTTTCCGCATGAATTTGATTTACACGATAACTTCGGGGCAACAAGCGCGTCGAGCACGCGAGAGTCAAGGGTCACCTTCGGCGAACTCAAAGCCCGCGGGATCAACTCTCCGTCCGACACGCTTTCCTAAGCCGGGGAAACTTTGTCAAGACATGCACTGCCATTACGGCGTAATGAAGATTTATGACTGGGATTCGGGATGACGAGAGAGAGACTCGAGTCTTTTCGCCGCAAACTCTTTCGCCGTGCATTCTGTACGCGAATACGCTGAAAAAATCCGCCTTGACTTCGGGAATAGCATTTTCGGTGAATCTCCGCCTGAGTGGAATACATTCCGGACTACTATTACGATCCAAATAATAGTCGAGCCGCGTCCCGCGTGACTATAAATTCGTTAGAACTTTGCGTTATATCGGATTTTATTGCCGTTTATACCTAGGCCGCTTTACGGGAAAGTAACAGTTGTGAACTTTGTGAAATTTCCATCTTGTCAGAAACGCTTCTATCGCGTAAAATTTGATGAAACATTATAGTTCATATAATTTAACTTGTATGGTCATTTTTACTCGAGGATATCCATTGGATATCTTCTCACTTTTTATTTATAATGCTACTAAAAAAATATAAATGTTTTACATAAGACTGAGTGATCTCAAACTTGATTATTAATTATTTGTCACACGAACAAAAAGGTAGAAATTGTATGACAAATTTCACGTGTTACTGTCGAATTTTTATAAATGTGAAATTTTATAATTTGAATCAATTTTGAAATTTATATGTTTATTTATTTATTTTTTTTTGTACAAATCACTACAAATTAGTATATATTCTTAACCGATCGTTGTGGTCATCACGTTCGATTCGGTGGAATCAGCAACCAGAGCAAAGGAAACGCTACATGGAGCAGATATATACTCCGGCTGCTGCACACTAAAAATCGACTTTGCGAAGGTGAGTACGTCAGCAATCTTCCGCAATTATCTTCCTATTTTGAAAGAAAATTTTATGCGAATTTAGATACGAATTTAGGTAAATCTTGAAAAACGAGACGAATTGCTTTCGCCGACTTTACAAAACGATGAAAAACCGCTTTTAAAATCGTCTCGAGCATTTTTATAATATTACTCGCGCTCACATGTTGGAAAAATCTATTTGAACAATTCATTTTGCACAACTCGTTATCAATTCGAATTAGCAACACCACGAGTGCTTATGAGATAAAATTCTTAATATTTGCAATTCACTAGGCATTTTGTTTAAGTACAGCGATGCGTTGATAAAATCGATTTAAATGCACTCACGGTATATTTATAATGATAAATCATACATAACTGCGTGAGAGACATAAATTATGCTAAATTATACAGGTTTCGGAGCTGTCGTATTTTCTTTCCAGCTATGAATTATTTGACGAACGTAAAATTTAATCTTTCGTTAAATTTAAAATGGAATCTAAATACAGAATTACTAAAATAAAGTAGAACGAAGGGATTTAATTTGATATTTATCAAGATGTTTTATGTTAAAAATTAAAAAGCCGCGACGGTTAATGGCTTTTAATTGAATTTCCTCTCATAATAATACATTCCAAATTTATCAGAGAATATTAATAGCGAAATATTGATTAATTTGTACCGAATGTTTCCATGAGAGTATTCAATCTGTTTAAAAAAAAAATCTCTTTGATTTGTATAATTGTGATTTAATTCAGAATGACTTAGAGAATTTATTGACGCTATAACAGCTTCATATTCACTTGAGTGAGACGTGTATATCTTGCACGTGACAAGCAAAGTACGTATATATTTTTCACGCGTGATATAATGATGATATAACGACGAGACGATGCGTTTTCTATAATTACGCGGCTCTCTCTCGTCGTTGTCGTAGATTGAATCTGAGTCAGCAAAAACTTAAATCGGCAATTTAAGCAACTTATCGTAATCAATGCACCCGACGCTGTCGTAAATCTTGTAATTTAACGGTTGTAACAAACGAGCGCGACACAAGATGGATTAACCGGTTTTTATCTGATTCTACCTACCGCGCGCATTAGCGTGACACGGCAAACAGCTGCACTCTTTCACGCCTTTGTCGCGACTTTCACGCGAGAAGAATTAAGCCCCGTTCATACACAACGCCGCCATTGAACGAGCAAACATATTCCTTGCCTAAATTGCCCCCCGAAGAGAATCACTTTGACTAATTTTTTTTAAATTACTTATCATATTTTTTCGAAACTTACACGACTGACTACTACAGGATGTTTCACAGGTGGAGGTCAATCGCACGGAAGGTGATTGGGGGCACAAAAACAAGAAAAAAAAAATTGGTGTGAAGAAACGTAGAGATGCGTTGTTTTTTGAATTATTTCGTAATTTTTATGTTGAAATTTCAAATTGCTTTGTTTTTGAATTTTTTGTGGAAAAATTGGAAGAAGAGATGATCTTTTGATGATGAATTTTATAATTAAAGTTAAATAAAAGTTGTAGGCTGCTTTAGCGTTACACAGGATGCATCACCACGTGGAGATGTTCGCTTGACATTTCTTGGCGAAAATCAGGACTCCATAGTTGTGCAAAGATAAAACTCATAAAGATCATTTCTTTTAATTTTAACAAAAAAATCAAAAGCAAAGCAATTTCAAATTCCAACGTAAAAATGCGATAACTCGAAAACAATGCATTTTACCTCAAATCATATCAATTTTCTTGTTTTCGTATTTCCATTTATCTCCCGAGTGATCGACCTCGACTTATGGAACACCTGCATTTCAATCAACGCGATCAACTTTTTTTCAACTTTTTCGTCAAACAGTAAGCTCGTATGCTTTATAAATCAGTTTCCTTTTTATTTGCACTTTTCCGTTAGGCGTCGTCAGCCTCTTTAGCCTCACAAAGTCATGATTGGTTCCCGCTTTTTTGCAAGGGATGCGATGTCAGCTCGCGATAGAGATGTTGAAAGGAACACCCGGCGCATTAGGCCCGTGGCGATGGTGGTAGGGAGAGAGAAGGCTGATGCCGCGCACAAAAGCACGTCTCTTCAGCGTGAACACGCTATTGTGCCTCAGAAAAAACAGACGAAAAATGAACGGCGGAATATTAACGAGGCGCAACATTACACAATCGCTCGCTAATGAAAACGCGCGCCCCGCATCGGGATGCATCGAATATCGTTATCCTGCGAGTTTCAATAGTCCGATACAATTTTCTCACGTTAGTTCGTGCTGATAAAATATTTTCGAAAGAAAGAAGAGGAGAATTCATAGGAAAAGAATCACGAAGGAATTTCTACGGAAGTCTGTATATCACTTGCCGATAAAAAGAGTCCCAAAATTTAATCAGTTTGAAATCCATTTATCTCTCTAGTGGGAAATGTCACTTTTTTTCAACGTTCCTTTTTACCTTTTCAACTTCAGGATTCCTTTGTCCCGGACTAACTCCCTTTAAAACAGCCATCCGGTTTCTTCTTGCATAACAGAATTTAATTATGGCATAGCTCAAATAATGATAACGACAACGGTCAGCGATAACATTATTTTCTTGCTTGCTCGAGCAGGCAATTCGGAATTACTTCGATTCGCTGTTATCCTGCTCGATCGCTTCCTTGCCATCGACCGTGCGAATCATATTGGAAAATGTTAGATATTTATTGTCGAAGGCCACTGTATTTTCCATTGGAATATCGCGCGCAGCTGTTTCTTCTGCAAGCTTTGGTAGTATATACTTGAAATCATAAAGTATGATTAATCGACACCTTGATTTCTTTATAACGGACGATTTGATTTTTATTTTAGAAAATTAAAGATAATCGTTTAATACAAAAATATTTACAATGAGCAAATATAATCAGATTACACAATTTTTTTCTCGGGAAACGACGTTAAACACGTCAGAAGACATCAACCGAAGCAATACTAAATCACAATATGGTGAACTCGAAACTCGTTGTTAGATAAAAAAAAAAAGAAGAAATTATATAAATACCAATGATAAAAATTTAATAAAGCCGGATTATAATTCGGAGACAACTTGTATAATCCGAATAATATAAGACAAAGTCGCGGATGGAAAACGTCGCAGAAATTTGTCGGCAAAAATTTGGGATGGAAGGTATGCGCATACCAGAAAAAACTCTAGAGGCGACGAGCTCACGCTAGAGCGACAAGCGAAAATAGAGTCGAAGGCAGAACCGAAAGCTCGAAATTGGATTTCAAGGCGGAGCCTGTCACAGGGGCTTACCCACTCCTTATCTCCTCATTGCCAATGGAAAGGTCTGCCAAATAGCTTGTTGGGAAGCGCGCGTCGGAAGCTTCCGTACGCCACGCATGAGCCACGTGAATCATGCGACGGATCTACGCGCGTGCGGATCCGCACGCGGGGATTCGATATCGCAGATGTATCGGATACATCGGAGGAACATATTTGAACAACTCCCCGTATCACATCCCCCGCAAATCCCCCAAGCGTCCCGCCGACCCGCGTCCGCGAGTTCTGCCAAGAGTGCTCCAAGGGAGCTTTTCGTAAGAACAAACGTGGCCAGAATGACAATGTCGTATATCGATTACGATGCCGGTCTTGCGGAGATTGCTCGGCGCATCCGCGTATGGAAATCTTCCGCGCGTTTAGAAAACGCGTCTGGAAGTTCAACATTCGCCTTTGAAAGCTACGGCGCAGCATCCCGAGTCCTTCCTTTTTTCATGATACAGACTCTTCTCTTCCAGAACAATCGATTTCCCATTCTCGCAACTACCATGAAGACTATGCCAATCTGTGGTGCGCCTTGGTTTCTCTTTCTCGATATTTTTTTTTTTTTTTTATTATAACTTTTTAAACATATGCAAATTTTTAGTGAACATTTTTTCTTTTTATATCTTTTCTCTCTTTGGAATTTGTTATTCTTGCTCAGGGACGTCATTAGTGATCTCGAAACATTCGTGGAATTAGCATGTTCCACCCATTGTTCCATTGTTCGACCGCCTTCTTTCTCTTTTCTTTTCTGAAATTTCTCCGCCTCGAGTTTCGTATTGCTGGCGCTGCAACTCGCATGATGTGTAAAACGTGCTTCCCCTTTACTCCATAATACCCATGTTATCTCCGTGCTTCTCCTTTACTCCATAACGCCCACGTTATCTCCGTTCCTCGAGAGCAATGCAATATTCAAAGTTTCATTATTAAACTTTTGTTCGCCGCGAATCGGCGAAGAAACGAGACTGTTTATCGAAGTTGAAAAAGCCGATAGAGTCATTTGTTATTTAGACGGCAGTGAGTCGTCGATGTAACAGCTGTACTTTTTAATTACCCCATTTTTACTACGGAGCGTGAAGTCAGATTAATTTGAATGTCACGCGGCCGTTATCGCGCGACCGTCGCGCCGCTTCCGGGAGAACTTTAAACCGAATTAATTCCTTCTCGTCGCCGTATCATAATTCTCGGGATGACGATAAGACGAACGTGGCGCGAATCGCCGCGGCGAGAGGTCTTCATTCGGCGAGTGCCTCACAAAGGATGTCGACAGGTTGACAAGTTGCTGCCGGCTCACCCCCCCCCTCTCTCTGTCTCTCTCTCTCTCTCT